CATCAAAACTGCCCCTATTCCTTTTCCGGATGCATCCGTTTCCACCACAAAAAGTTTGTCAAAACTGGAAGAGTGGTCATTGCCTTCTTGAGTTGCTCAAAAGCTGCAATCGATTCCGGGTGCCATTTGAACCCCTCTTTTTTCAGCATCTAGGTCAAAGGAGTAGCTATTTTGCTATATCCTTTGACAAATTTCCTGTAATACCCTGTTAAATCCAAAAAAAACCTCAAACTTTTCAAATTTTTAGGTATAGGCCAATCTAGCATATCCTGAATTTTGCTAGGATCAGCCTTCACCCCTTGACCCAAAATCACATGCCCTAAGTATGATAGTTGATTCTGTCCGAACCTGCACTTCTTCAAATTGAGGACCAGCTGATTTTCTTGTAAAACTTGTAAGTTGTAATACATTCCTTAGATGCTCCTGGTGTTCTGGCCCACTATTACTGTAGATTAGGATGTCATCATAAAAACAAGCACAAATTTCCTCAAATAAGGCCTCAGAATCTGATTCATCAAAGCTTGGAAGGTTGATGGGGCATTTGTCAGTCCAAATGGCATCACAACGTACTCATAATGACTTTCGTGCGTCCAGAATGCAGTCTTGTGTATGTCTTCTTCCTTCATCCTTATTTGATGATACCCTGACTTCAAATCTAGCTTGGAAAAAATCTGTGCAGGTCCCAATTCATCTAATAATTCATCAATCATGGGAATGGGAAACTTGTCTGGCACGGTGATCTTATTCAGCGCTCGGTAATCCCCACAGAATTATTGACAGAAGAGTCTAGACAGCTCTAGAGATCAGTTACATGAGTTACAAAATAAATTAGAATATTTGTATTTAATATTTCAGTTACAAATCTTTGTATTTAATATTATAATTAGTAGCCTAGCTCTAAAATGTTGTATAAATAGGATATCATTTCATGGAATGAATCAAGCTTTTCAGTCTCAATTCCTCCTTATTCTAAACTTTGTTATGGTATCAGAGCCTGATTGATGAAAACCAAGGGATAATAGAAATCCACTGAGGGATTGGTACCATACTCGAGGTGCTTGTTTGAGACCATAGATGGATTTCCTAAGACGACACACTCTTCCAGAGCCATCATTGAAACCAGAGGGTTGTTTCATGTAAACCTCCTCTTGAAGAGCACCATGTAGAAAAGCATTGTTGACATCTAGTTGGTTTATGTGCCAGCCATGAGAAAGTGCAATGGTCAGAACAACCCGAATAGTAACTGGTTTGATGACTGGGCTAAAGGTCTCAGAGTAATCAATCCCCGGGCGCTGATGAAAGCCTTTAGCCACCAATCGAGCTTTGAAACGATCCAAGGAACCATCAGGCTTATATTTCACAGTATAAACCCATTTGCAGCCAACAATGTTCTGACCAGGATGAGCGGGTACAAGTTCCCATGTCCCTTGTTGAACCAAAGCATCAAATTCCACAGACATAGCCTTCCTCCATTCAGGTACCTGTAAAGCTTGAGAAGCACAAGTAGGAATAATATGATGAGGTAATGGTGAGTGTGTGACAACATTAGCTTGTTTACGAGAACGAAGGGTCATTGGGTGGGTACGTTTGGGTGGAGAGGCTTTTGGATCATGATGATGACCCAAGGTAGATATGGGATTATTTGTAGTGGGAGTAATGGTTGAGGGGTTGGTGTTGGGTACATTAGGTAAGGATGGAGTAGTTGGGTTTTGTTTGGGCCGGCGGTGATAAGTGATGAGGACCGGTGGGTTAGAAGCTGGTGGAGTGTTATGAGGAGCAGGGTTAGGGGAGTCTTGTGTTATTGGGGTACGAGTAGTAGGAGACGCCTTTGCTAGTGATGTACCTGAGATAGGAAGATAAGAGATAGGAGGTTGAAGCCAACTGTCAATTTCAGAGGACAGATCTGTAACGGGTGTTGTATTATTAGAGAAAGGGAAGACAGACTCATTGAACACCACATGTCGACTAAAAAAGATGCGATTGGTAGTAGGATCAAGACAGCGATAAGCGCTTTGTTGATCGCAATACCCAAGGAAAATACAAGGTCTGGACCGTGGTTCTAACTTATGAGCTGCATAAGGACGGAGCCATGGAAAACATTGACATCCGAAAATAGCAAGTTTTGTGTAATTGGGAGGTTTTTGAAAAAGTTTTTCATAGGGAGTACAAAAACCTAGAGATGCTGTTGGTTGCCTATTAATTAGATATACAGCAGTTAAAAAGGCGTATGACCAATATTTTAACGGCATAGAAGAGTGGTGAAGTAAAGTGATCCCTGTTTCTACAATATGACGATGTCGGCGTTCAGCGAAGCCATTATGCTCAGGGGTATATGGAGGGGTCAATAAGTGAGTAATACCACAAGAGGCCAGAAATTTCCCTAGGGATATATATTCACCCCCTCCATCTGAATAAACCATTTTAATAGATTTTTGAAAAAAGTTTTCTACGATCTTCTTAAATTGTTGAAAAATTGAAGTTACCTCAGACTTGTGAGTGATAGTGTAAAACCAAATGTATTTTGTGTAGTGATCAACAAAAATAACATAATAACGAAAACCATCCACGGAATTAATGTGTGAGGGACCCCAAACATCTGTATAAATTAAATCAAGTGGACCTGAACTTGAAAGGGAAGGTTTAGCAAAAGGTAACTTGTGACTTTTATTACTTGCGCATGAAGTGCATAAGGACAAATCCTTATTAACATCTTTAAAGGAAATACCTAATGAGGAAATAACTTTTTGAGTGATGGGAAGGGCAGGATGTCCTAAACGACAATGCCATTTATTTAGAGAAAATTTTGTAGTAACATTGACACATGGTGATGAAGGAACAGGAACATCAGGCAAGCTGTAGACGTCACCTTTATTCATACCCCGTAACAAAATTGCTCCCGTTTTCCGGTCCTTGACGAGACAAAAAGAAGGGTGAAACTCGATTAGTACATCATTGTCACGACATAATTTGGCAACTGAAATTAAATTAGTATGAATAGAAGGAACAAAAAGAGTATTAGGTAAGGAGAGAGAATGAAGGGTCATATTCCCAACTTGTGCAATTTCAAGACTTTTACCCGTTACCAATAATGAGGGAGTCTGTGCCAGTGTAATCGGCCGCCAGGGTAAGATTGTTTAAATTATTGGTGACATGATTAGTTGCTCCCGAGTCCAGCAACCATCCGGTTCTCCTGATCGTGGCAGTATTGGCCTGGGGGGGATAATTTTGTTGTTCAAACCTGTGCCAACAGTTTATAGCGGGATGGTTCGGTTTGCTACAAATTTGACATATAACGGCACCCGGACTGGTATTTCCCCCAAAATTAGTACGCCTGCCCCCGGGATTATTATTTCCACGTCGATTTGAATTGTAGAAGTTGCTGGGACGTGGGCCTCGATTTTGATTTTTGAAAAATTTATTCTGAGTATTGGGCCTATTGGGTAGAGTCTGAAACTGGGCTGATGGACCTGGGCCTAATATAGACGTGTTCTGGTCTATACTACTGCGAACGGTCATTGCGACCGAACTGTCTTCTTCCTCTTTTCTTTCTACCGTCGCTGCGTTCGCAGTAACAACAGCCGCGGAATTCAAGAGCTCCCTCCTTCACAACTTGTCTTCGAATTTGACCAGTAAGGAGTGGAGTTCTTCGAAGTTAGTTTCATCTGGGCGGATGGAGTTCTCCACGGATTCAAACTCGGGACGAAGACCCTCCAGGGCTTGAATGGCAAAGTCTTCATCGTCAACAGGTCGGCCGGCCATGGCTAGTTCATCCGCGAGGGTGCGAAGGTGGTGAAGATATTCTTCTACAGGTTGCGACCCCTGTTTAGCATGGCGGAACTGGTCTTTAAGACTTCGAATTTTGGAAGCTGACCGGGTCCCGTATAGGCGTTTCAGTGTTTTCCAGACGGAGGCGGAGGTCTTTGTAGACCCAACCAGCGGTTTGCAGGCGGAACTGAGAGAAGATACAAGAGCGTGCCGCACCAGACGGTCATGTCTCTTCCATCGCAGAAAGTTGGCAGCTTCAGTTTCTGGAGGAGGACTGATTTTTTCATCAATATACTGATCTAGATGAGACCCGAACAGAAGGTCCATTACTTGGTCTCTCCATACAAGGTAATTTGATCCATCTAGTTTTTCTGGGAATTGGTTAGGGCTGAGCATAACAAGGCCATCCGGGGTTAGGGGATTATTGGCTGAGAGAGATGATGTTGAGTTATCATTCACGTCTTCTGGACTTTTGTCTCTATTATTTTCATGAGCCATGGGTAGAGAAAGGTGATGCGGGGGGATAGTTCAGTGAAGAGAATAGGCCGTTTCAGTGAACCATTAGCAGCTCATGAAACGTCTCTTGCGGTATCTTCACGGAACAGCCTCTCATGGTTTATATCTCCGTCGGAGTTCTCACCTTTCATTGTGTGCTTATGCTGATGCAGACTGGGCGGGAAATCCAGATGACCGATCCTCTACCAGTGCTTATGCCATTTTTCTCGGAGAATCGCTTATTTCATGGAAGTCCTCCAAGCAACGCACAATTGCCAAATCCTCAACCGAAGCAGAGTATCGGGCCCTATCCACTGCTGCATCTGAAACTCTTTGGATTAAGTCACTTCTTCATGAGCTTCGACATTCTCCTTCTTCTCCTCCAGTTCTTCTATGTGATAATAAAGGCGCTACCACCTCTTCTGCCAATCCGGTATTCCATTCCCGAATGAAACATGTTGCCATTGATTTCCATTTTGTTCGTCAACGTGTGCAGCATGGCCTTCTTTGGGTTCTTCATATCCCCTCGCATGATCAACTAGCTGACATTCTCACCAAACCCCTTTCACGACAACGGTTTGTTTTTCTACGTGACAAGCTCAGGATTCTCAGCACTGATAGAATACCTGGCTTGCGGGGGCATATAGACAGAAGAGTCTAGACAGCTCTAGAGATCAGTTACATGAGTTACAAAATAAATTAGAATATTTGTATTTAATATTTCAGTTACAAATCTTTGTATTTAATATTATAATTAGTAGCCTAGCTCTAAAATGTTGTATAAATAGGATATCATTTCATGGAATGAATCAAGCTTTTCAGTCTCAATTCCTCCTTATTCTAAACTTTGTTAAGAACCTCCACCCCCCTTCTTTCTTTTTAACTAGAAGGACAGGGCTGCTATAGGGGCTAGTACTAGGCCGGATTATCCCAGTGCTTAGAAGATCCCTAACAATGTTTCAATTTCAGTTTTCTGATAATATGGATACCGGTAGGGTCTAATGTTGGGAATTTTAGCTCCCTCCGTGATTTGGATGGCATGGTCGCAACTTCTGTGAGGGGGCAATCCCTTAGGAGTCTGAAATACCTGGGGAAATTCTGCTAGGATCCTTTCCCATTCCTCTCCCACTTCAAGATTTGTTTGCTGATCAGTTTTCATGTTCTCACAGTACAGGTAATACCCTTCCCCATGATTTTGTAATACTTTGCGTAAGGTCTTCCAGGATGCCATAGATCTGCTTAGAGATGGATCCCCCTGCAAACTCTTCCTTTGTGCTGCTTCTACCCATTGGATATTAAGTTTTCTGAAATTGACTTCAACTTTACCAAGGCTGGCCAACCATTCCATTCCCAGGATTATGTCAGTTCCTCCTAACTCAGGATATAATAGTCTTGTGTGATCATTACGTCTTGGACCCATATCGGCAAATTCTCACATTTACCCTTGTTATTAATCCGCTCCCCATTTCCCATCTCCACCTAGAACCCTGCGGTGGGTGTATAGGGCAGTTTTAGGTCAGCCACCAACCTGTGAGATATGAAATTATGGGTGGCTCCTGAATCCAATAGAATGACTACTGGTGCGCCACTCTCTGGGTTATTTAAATTTCCCATAACTTTGAAGGTTCTTTGTGTTGTAATCCCTTCATTGCTCATACTCGAGAGTTGCATAGTCATTTTCTCTCCCTCTGACTCTACCTCGTCTGCGTCAGTCAGCGGGTTGTCCTCCACCTCTGCATCTTCTGGAATTTCTGTGAGAGTCAGCCGATAGTTCTTCATTTTGCACACATGTTCCTTGTTCCATTTGTTCCCGCATTTGAAACACAAACCCTTCCGGGTTCTTTCCAGCAGCTCCTCCTGTGTCAGCCCTTGTCCCTTTTTCCCGGAGTAAGTGAATCCAGATGTTTCTGTGGCCTTGTAGTTTGTCACACCTTTTGCAGCAGTGGGGTTGTTAGGGTAGGTTCCCCCTCTAGTGCCTTCCCTCCAATTTAAGGATTTGGCTTGAGTTCCCCCTTTATCTTTCCAGCCTCTCTTATCCTCCTCCCTGTGTTTAGCCGTCCTTACTGCAATATTCTTATTTTCGAGTAACAAAGCACGGTCCATCAACTCAGATAGGGATCCCGAAGGGTACAATTTCAGCTCAGCTCTAACTTCATCCCGCAACCCATTCATGAAAATCCCCTTCAACATTTCCGTATCTGTGTTTTTCATGGGGGCGATTACTAATTCAAATTCCTCCTTGTAATCCATCACGCTTCCCGTCTGTTTGATACTCAGCATGGGCCCGTACGGATTTTGCACCAGGTCTGGCTGAAATCTTTTGATAAGGTCTTCCTTAAAAGATTCCCAACCCCTATAATAAGTTTGTCCCTCCCATCACTGGAACCAGTTGAGGGCTTTACCCTCCATAGCTATAATCACAACCTCTACTCGTTCTTCTTCAGGAATATCATTCAATCTGAAAAAACGTTCTACTCGGACCAACCAGCCATAGGCATCGTCGCCATTGAATATTGGAAGATCTATCTTCCTTCCGGTTCGATGGTGACACCTCACCCTTGACCTTTCATAGGTTGCGGAAGTTACCCGCGTAGATCGCGACTCATCGCGAGTGCGGGAGGGTTCGGTATGCTGAGGGGACGTCCGTCGAGTAGTTCTGGAACGGCCTCTGCTTCGATGGTGCTCCAGTTGCCGTCGCCTGGTCCGCATATCCTCCGTTCTACGTTTCTCCTGCTGTTGCCACATATTTCGCATCTCCTGCATCATGTTGTTTATCATTTCGTCCATCCTATCACCGAGATCTGCTACTGTGCGTTCCATATTGTCCGTCCGATGCTCCGTCTGTGATCGGGTGAGGGGCATCCACAGTCTCAGGAGTCAATATGCTCTGATACCAATGTTAGGGCACACACACAGTCCATCTCAATATAGGTACTATCCTCCGTATCTCATTAATTGCAACATTGGAATATATACACTATTCATGTACTTTACTTTGACTACATTTTATTTATTAATGTATGTGAATTATTTTTTTTGAAAAATGTTGTTAAATTCGTCTCATTACTAAGTTTTATAATCTGATTTTTATTTTATTTTTACTAATACAGAATTAAATATAATGACGGTCAAAGTTGTGCGTTGGCAAACGTGAAATGTTTACTGTTGCAACTAAAAAGAGACGGAGGAAGTATTATATTAGGTAAATAAGTTCAATACCGAGACAGACAGTTGGAAAGCAACAATGGAAAGGAGAAGAAGGACTTGCAGAACAAGGACAGAAAAAAAGGTGAGACCATTCGAGAGGGCCTCTCTCTCGTATTACAACCGACTCCAGACTGTCTCCTATCTCCTCCTGTGCATTGCTTTATTCTTCTGCTCTTCAGGTCCCACCAATCACTCAGCTGATTGATTCTCCACTTCTCCCTTTAGAATTATCAAAAGACTCTTCTACCCTCCTCTTATTCCTTCTGGTGTAAACCTTTGTGAATTCCCTATTAGGATTTATATCAAGTGTACCTGGGCTCCTATCAATCATTTTATTTTATGGTTCCACAGGTAACCAATTTGAAATTTTCTCTTATTTAGTTGCTGACTTGCTGAAAGGTGTATCATGTGGAAGATGATGTTTTTTGTATGCTAAGTAGTTAAATCGCTACTCGGTGGCCACTCAGTCCAGGGCAACTGGTTCAGCCTTTGGCTCTGGGCAACGGTTTCTACCGTTGATTATCCTGGGCAACGGTTTATTCCGTTGATTTTTATTTTCCGTTCTCATCACAGGTTGAGTTTGATGAGTTTGAGGAAAGTTCAATGATTGTTGCAACTATTGCTTGGGATAACTCTTTCTCATGGACATATCGGAAGTCTATCAATAAACTACATGAAACAATGTGTGAGGTCTGTCTTTTCTCATAGCAAGCATTCACCATCCAAGCACTTCGTTTTGCTTCTTTAACTCACTGAATATATGCAGGTTCACACTGTGGCTGAACATTTGGTGAAGAGAGTTCCCGATACATATGGACTCCAGAAAACTCACATTCCCGGAAAAACATCTTGGGATCAGGCTGTTAATCGTGCTTTGCATATGATAAAGCGGGATTACTCTACACTGATCAAGGTTTAATATACGCAATTTTTTATTTAAAGTTAATACGAGTTTTAGCCCTTCATTTATAGAGATTGCTACTTTTTAGCTCTTGACTTTCAATTGGGCGTCTTTTACTCCCTAAGTTTTCAAACGTACCGATATAGTCCAAATGGTCCAAAATATATCTATACAAAGAAATGTTGTTTGGTAAAGTAGTGACATTTTAGACATTTGAACTAAATTTGGTTAGCTTTGAGAAGCCGAGGGACCAAGAGTGGTTGAACTGGTAGTCGAGAACGAAAAGTGGCATTGTCGAGCATCCAAAAAGAAAAAAGAAAAAAAAAAGAACTGAATGTTGATATATTTATTTTAGCCATTGCTCGACACATCTGCTAGAATCAACAACAAAGCCATATAAGTGGTTCTTTCAAGTCACATATAGTTGAGCTCATCTAAGTGTACCATATTGATTTTTCTCATTTTGTCTAAAAGTACAAGGTGACCAATCAGTCGACCAAAGAACTCAGTACCCGGTGAATAGCGAGCTATTCAAGTTGATCATGTATCTGAGAGCAGCTAATTAACCAACTGCGTTGCCGCCAGCAGCGGCGACGCCGACCGTTAAGCTCCATGTCTGATGCAATTTTAAGACACCGAGTTGTACTACTCAATGAGCCAGGATGCTTTAATTTTTCTCTGCCACCTCTACCTCTCTTTCCCAGCCAATCTGCTACTCAAGTAATTCAAATAGCGAAATTTCACCTTCTATTTATATTTCGTGTTTTTGCTATTAAGATTTCGTTGTTAATTGTTCCATCTTCATATGTTGTGCAATCATGTCAGAGAAATCACCGTCATCAAGCACATTGTTCTCTGTCCATGAATGGGTGCCAAGGTGACCCAAGAGCCCCCTTCGGAACCATTGAAGCTCAAACATTTCCGGCTGTCTCGAGCCTATCACTGGCGATGGAAAGCCTCAATTCCGCCATTTCGAACCTCCTCAACTCCGACCCTTCGCCGTTTGACTCTGGCATTATTCGCCTTCAGGTAAGAACCGACTCGACCGGTAAATATAAAATTCTGGAAACGGCAAAACTAGGAACACCCAATCCACTTCGACAGTTCAACTAGTTTCGGCAAAATCCAGTCATGAAAACTCCAGTTGGGAACTATTTTTATTGCTCAAGTCTCGATGTAAAGGTCAAATTATCAAATTGGTAAAAAAAGAGGAAGATTTACCTATTAATAAGACTAAAACATGGTTTTTTCCTCAAAACAAGAGCACCTAGTTTAAACATTCTTAAATAAGACTTTTTATTTATAAATGGATCAAAATGTCATTACTACTGCCCCTGGAGTTATGCCTGCCACCTCCCGCCGATCACTTGCTGTCGCCGCTGGATAATTTCCAGATTTTTTTCAGGCAGCCTGTCAGATTTATGCCTCCACCGTCCGCCACCGCCGCCGGACTGCCCCCGCTACCAACGAACTGCCTTGATTGTGCAAGAGAATTAGAGGGGGCAATTAATTGGATTAATTAAATAATTAAATTGGAGGTAAAAAAAAGGGGCTAGTTCTATTTAGGAAAAATCAAACATTAAGTCTTATTTTGGGGAAAAACATACTACCTCCGTCCCGGTGGACTTTGCCAAGTGCAAAGTAGGTGAGAAATAAGAATAGTAAAAACTGTGTGGTTGAGATTTGTGCAGAGGAGAGAGAAATGTGCAAAACCACAAATTAGTTGCTTTTATAGGAAAATGTCAAAGTTTTTTGGAACAACCAAAAAAGGAAAGTTGGCAAGTCCAGTGGGACGGAGGGAGTATGTTTTTGTCTTAGCCATGACAATTTCTCTATAAAAAGGGTGATTTACCAAATTGAAAAAAAAAACTTGGTGAGTCAAATTGGTAAGAAAAAACACCCGTAACAAATTGGTCAGTTTTTTGTGAGTGAGATACTTTTGGTTCAAACTTTAGAATTCCCGAGATTCATATCCCAAGTATTGTGAAATTGACATTTTCAGTCCTACTTCATTTAAAAAATCTACTCTAAAATTCTATTCCATAGGAAACTTCTATTTTATATGGAATATTTTTTCTATTTTATATGGAGTTTTTTTAAAACTTATAAAATAGTCATGTTTAAAATATTAACACTAAAAATAAATAAATTTATATGTGTGCGCTCACGTTAATGTACATATGTTAAAAATGATAGTGATAGTAGTCATTTAAAATAAAGGATCATCAAAAGTGTTTTTGTAATAGTAGTCATTTAAATACTATCACATAAAATTAAAAAGTGTGATAGTATTTTAAATGACTACTACACTATCACTATCTCTATAAACATTTTTAATTTTATGTTTTTGTAAAATGATCATCAAAAGTGTCTCAATCATTCTTTCAAAAAAAAAGTGTCTCACTCATAAAAAAGGATCAATTTGTCACTAGGTTTCTTACCAATATATCTCAAGTGGTTTTTTACCAAGTTGGTAAACCATCCATTTTTTTTATCAATTTGATAATTTGTCCCATATATAAACTAGTAATCATAAATTCATAAACGATATATGTGGTCAAATACTATTTGATTTATGCATGTCATCTTACAAAACCATATCATAAACTTGTGGCTAAAGGGTCAATCCTTGAACTAAAAAAGGTCCAATATTTATCCTGAACAGGAAAAAGTGGTTCAAATTCCAGTCATAATGGATTATCATCCATCATCCGGTCACCCATCACATCACAGATTAAGTTGTCCACTATGCATCTAACTTCGAATTTGAAAGCTCAGATAAGCCCCTGAACATGTTTGTACCGTTCAATTAACCCCCTTAACTTTAAAAAAGGTTCAACACGGGGATAAATTCAAAATAAATTGAAAAAAATAAATATAAAATTACAAGATAGAGTACAAATATATGGGATCTTTTTAAAAATATATGAATATAAAAATATAATAACGATGAAAAAAATATTATATGTATATTTTTTTACATTAATAGTTTACTCTTAAATTTTTGAACATGTTCAAGGACTTATTTGAGCTTTCAGTTTCGAGGTTAGATGGTGACGTGGTGGGTTACCAAATGGTGACCCATTAAAACTAAAATTTGAACCATTTTTTCCAGTTCAGGGTGCGATTTTGATTTTTTTTTAGTTCAGGGATTGAATTAAGCTTACTCACAATTATAAAGACTTATTTGACAAAACTATCTAAACTTGTTGAGATTTAGAAAGAACTTCTGGAAAAAACTCTAAACAATGAATTGAAAGATTAAGGATGTTTTCTTTTGAACTGTTTTCAATCTCAGACCAGACCAGACTTAAACAAACCAGATCAGACCACACTTAAGTAGACCAGACTAGACATATATAGCTCTAAAATACACTAAGACCAGACGTTTTGTAGACCAGATCAAATCACACTTAAACGGACCAAATCAGACCATAAAATTTGAGTTCAAACTTGTGGCTGATTTACTGAGTTATCACTTTTACCTTTCTACAAACAATGGTTATTCGTATTCTTCTTCTAGATTATTTTACCAAGTAATTTCAACAAATAATCTCTCGGTCTCATCTACAGTGTCAACAAATAATTTCCAGTAGCTTACTTCCCAAATTAACCGAATATGGCCGGAATAATTGATCGATAGGCGAGGCACCCTTCAGAATGTGTCAAATACTCTTTATTAGGTACCGATTAAAGAGAAGATTGAGGCACTCGCCTGGCTGCATGCCCAAAACCATCTTCCTCTCCTCCCGCGCTGTTACTTCTCCAGTAGAAGCCGAGACTTTGACACCGATCATTCATCCATTGAACATCTTAGTGCTGATCATTCAGTTCTTTCATCATCTCAAAAGCATAGGGTGGTGAGTGTAGCTGGCATTGGCTCGGCTGTCTTCTTCCGCCACTTACGCCCTTTCTCATTCGACGATTGGCTCTTCATTAAGAGGTATCCTTCACTCCCCCTAACAATATAGCACGCAGGTTCTTCATATTTGCTGCTTCAAGTTGTAGTTTTGAATCACGAAGTCAATGGTAATTTTATACGACTTCTTCTATTTTGGCTGTGAAATGAATACTACATACATTTCCCTTTTCCACTTGATCACTTAGTAAGTTTTGAAAGATGTGCGGGGATAAAGTTACCTAAATATTGTTTACCTTAATAAGATTTAGAAGAAATCATATATATCCGAATGGAGTCGTGTGCGATTACTCAAAGGAGCTATGATACCAATCACCTTCATTCCACAGACTAGAACTGAAGGATGCATAGAAGGGATAGGGGGAGTTGGATTGTTTATAACATTGAGGGAAATTTCCACCACCTTGACATTGGGAATAACTGATTCAACACACTATATTGTGGGGGGACATCCCCAACACCCCATAAAAGGTAGACGTAATATAGTCGGACCAAACCTACCCGTTAAATGAAACCGACGGTTCTTGAAAATTTATCAATTACCCGGACCCGTGCCCACCAGTGATAAGAATGCACTGGCTTGAACTCGATTTCGAATTCAAAACCAGAAATAGTATTTTTATTTTCAAAACTTTAGTGTTATATTTTTATATACTAATAAGTAAACAAACAAACAAATATAAAATATATATAATATTGAACATTACATTTCTCATTTTCTTTAGTCTCTCTCTCTTTCATCTTTATTTTACTCTCAATAAAAAATTTATACACACACACATACATATATATATATATATATATATATATATATATATATATATATATATATATATATATATAGGGAAGAGATCAAATAAAAAGATGTTCTCCCGTGCAAAGTGCGAACAATTGCACTTTTTCTTCACCGCGTTGCACTTTTGCGTGTTTCTGTTGCACTTTTTCACGATGGCAAAAAACTTCTTTTTAATTACAAAATTGACACCGCGTTTTTGTCCAAATTTAGTTCACTTTTGGCTCATTTTGAGCCATTAGATCTCAAAATGAACGCACGAGATTAATTCTCACTTTGCATGGGAAGACCTCTTTGTATTTGAACCCTCCCCTATATATATGTATACATGTATCATCCCATATATATATATATATATATATATATATATGTATGTATGTTACGGAGTATATAATATGTGTGTGTATGTTTGTATATATTTATTTATTTAAATATTAATATTTCATGGCTGGCTCGCGAGTCACGAGCTAAATAGAATTGTGCCTGAGCTCTGCTAGATGGGTTAACAGCTGGCTCGAATTTGGCTCGAATTTGAGTATGACCGAATCCGAGTCGAGTTTTAACCGGTTGCTCACGAGTAGTTCATGAGTGGTTTGACTCGTTTCACCCCTAGTCATACAACTAGTGACATTAACCATCCTAACATGCGTAACATCTGGGCCGACAAATACACGATAGCACAACATGAGAGAAAAGCCGCTGCTAACAGCTCTCGTTGTTCAAAGTGTTCGTGTAAATGCCCAATAGATTGGAAATAAGTGACACACATTTGTTAATTCATTGTACTTTTTAAATAGTACATTTTTCTTTCAACTCTAATGACTAGTTTTATGTTAAAAAAGATAGATGTGTCAAATCTTGCATTGAACAATACTTATTCAAAAATTAAGTTAAAGTAGTTATGAACACTGAAAACATAGGTGCTAGATCCACCACCTGAAGCGGCCATGGTTGCAGAAAATTGTGTGAAAAGTAAGGCCTTCCAAGGCTGAAAAAGAAGTGTTCTCAGCAGTAGAGGATGTCACCAAAGAAGTGACGCTCGTCTAGGCGGCACTGCTTGGCTGGAAACAGTGGCTGAAACAGATAAAGCACCCATGGTGCTAATTTCAGTGCTCATGTCTAGGGTTTAGGAAAACAAATCTTGATACCATGTGGATATAATACCAGGTTTACCCAATCTTGGGTGCCTTGTGGTGTATGTATATCCTAGTTAGCTTTTTTAGGTTTTCAACCCGTTTTAAACACGTACCGTTTTTTTGAGTAAAAAAACACGTTTAAAACGAAAAATAATGCCGGTCCGTTTAAAAAGGAAAAAACTCATGCTACCCGTATAAAACATATTTTTCCCGTATTTTTACAAAAAATAGAAAAATGAATTGATCAATCGAATGAATGTATTAAATGGATTGGAGATCAACAATAGTTTATAAGCAAAAAGGAAAACCTCCTTTCCGTGACCTCGTGTGTTTGTATTGTTACAATACAATTATTAAATACTAAAATTAATTGCATGATAGCTAAAGCTAGCATCTTAAAAGACTAATACTTAAAATACAACTAAATTTCTTATGTTTTTTCAAACAAGCATATCAAATTAAGTTTTTTCTAAGTTTGACATTTTTTAGTATAAACTTTTACACATAAACACTAATAAGCGTAGCAGTCGCACAACTTTTCTCATATGTCACCCGTTATCTTGATGAAAATGACGAGTTTAACTTGAATGTTATTTGATGATCATATAAAGATAATGATTTTAGTTTAGTCTCATTCAATTGTTATTATGTCTTATTTTTTCGATATTATTTTGCAAAACTATGTCTTGGACTTACTACTATTTTTATTTTTATGATCGACTTATGCAATTACGAATTATTCTTTTATGTACTAATAATAGGATTTGCTACTTGAATATGCATGTACTTTTATTTCTTTTTACTATATATGTTATTATGTGGATTTATACAATTTAAATGTTCAAATTAATACCCCGTATTTTTTTTACTCCAAGGGGCGTCTGGGGGAGGGGTCTTGGGGGGCCTGGAGTAATCAGGGCTGAAACTCACTCCATTGAGTTTCGAACCCGAGACCTCCCGTAAGGGAGAGTGAGTCGGCGACCAGCTGGGCTGGACCGCTTCCTCACCCCGTATTTTTGTCCGAATTTTTGTAATAGATATCGTACTATACACGTATACTTATTTATAAGTTTTTTAAAAGTCAACGTTTTTTCAACGAATATTTGACCGTTTTTTCATTCATGTTACCGAATAAAACACGTACGTATTAAACCTCGTTTAATTCTCGTATCGTATTTAACTAACTATGATGTATATACGTGGTAAAGATGTACAATTGTACATCGCATAGAATTACATAGACTTGGGCACGCATATACTGAAATAATATTTGATTTCTCTTTGAAAGGTTTCTCTCCAAGGGATGCCCTCTAATTCGTGCTTATGGTGCCATTCGCTTTAACGCCACTGTAAGCATTGCTTCAGAATGGAGAGCTTTTGGATCATTTTTCTTTATGGTTCCACAGGTAACCAATTTGAAATTTTCTCTTATTTAGTTGCTGACTTGCTGAAAGGTGTATCATGTGGAAGATGATGTTTTTTGTATACTAAGTAGTTAAATCGCTACTCGGTGGCAACTCAGTCCAGGGCAACTCGGTTCAGCCTTTGGCTCTGGGAGTCTGGGCAACAGTTTCTACCGTTGATTTTTATTTTCCGTTCTCATCACAGGTTGAGTTTGATGAGTTTGAGGAAAGTTCAATGATTGCTGCAACTATTGCTTGGGATAACTCTCTCTCATGGACATATCGGAAGTCTATCAATAAACTACATGAAACAATGTGTGAGGTCTGTCTTTTCTCATAGCAAGCATTCACCATCCAAGCACTTCGTTTTGCTTCTTTAACTCATTGAATATATGCAGGTTCACACTGTGGCTAAACATTTGGTGAAGAGAGTTCCCGATACATATGGACTCCAGAAAACTCACATTCCCGGAAAAACATCTTGGGATCAGGCTGTTAATCGTGCTTTGCATATGATAAAGGGGGATTACTCTACACTGATCAAGGTTTAATATATGCAATTTATTTAAAGTTAATATGAGTTTTAGCCCTTCATTTATAGAGATTGCTACTTTTTAGCTCTTGACTTTCAATTGGGCGTCTTTTGCTCCCTAAGTTTTCAAACGTACCAATATAGTCCAAATGGTCCAAAATATATCTATACAAAGAAATGTTGTTTGGTAAAGTAGTGACATTTTAGACATTTGAACTAAATTTGGTTAGCTTTGAGAAGCCGAGGGACCAAGAGTGGTTGAACTGGTAGTCGAGAACCAAAAGTGGCATTGTCGAGCATCCAAAAAGAAAAAAAGAAAAAAAAGAACTGAATGTTGATATATTTATTTTAGCCATTGCTCGACACATCTGCTAGAATCAACAACAAAGCCATATAAGTGGTTCTTTCAAGTCAGATATAGTTGAGCTTATCTATAAGTGTACCATATTGATTTTTCTCATTTTGTCTAAAAGTACAAGGTGATCTTATCCTCTCGAGAATCTTTTTGAGCTTACTTAGGTCTAATTTGATAGTGTGTCATAGTCTGGTCCAGTTATGGTTCATTTGTTTATTTGACACGGTGACACCTATAATTCAGTGTAAACTGTTTTAGGTTGGTTTGGCCCTTTATCTATCTCTCAAGTTTTCCCTCTCGGTATTAAGCGTCCAACATTAGATATTTATATGGTTTGTGTCTAATATGTAAGTGTGAAGTAAATCTCACTTATTGATGATTTTTTGTGGTGAGTTAGAGCCAATTCAGTTTCATCCCAGTTCCCAATATTTATTTTATCATGTAGGTTGTACTTGCTCGCAGCAGCAGAGTTGCAACTGCTACAGACATTGACCCTTTGACATGGTTAACTTGCCTGAAGGTTGAAGTAGTTTTTATGTTCATCTGATTTACTCGAAGGCAAATCGAGCTGTCTCTAAACTTATATTTTCTTTTATAGTATGAAGGAGAAAATGCATATCAGTTCTGTATACAGCCTCCTGAATCATCGGCATTTATTGGAAATACTGTCAGTGCAATTCTTCATCCTATTAGTAGATGTTTGGGAGCTCGGTGTGGTCATACTCACTCTAACAAAATTGTGTACAGCCAGAGCAATTATTTCATCGAGACCAACTCAGCGTTTGCAGTGATGCTCTTGCTGGCACCCGAGCTAGAGGTGGAACAGAGCTTCTAGATCTCAAGATAGGGCAGGATTTGCTTTCCAGGTTCTCTTATTAACATGAGTCTCTATGAATTAACTATCTGTTCATGGGAAAAAAGAGTTGAAATTTGTGGAGTTTCTTTAGAAGGCTAAATGATATATGCTCTCTTTTCATTGTACTTGGTGCAGCCCGAAAGACAATTATGAGTTCGCTATAGTACGGGAGTGGATTAGAAGGAGACTGGAGGCAAGCTACACTGAATGCAATTTGATTAGATTCATGTCCCACGGTTTATTTGTTACTTTGCAACTAAAAGTACTAATGGATTTTGTTACTCTCCGTTTCATTCTTTCTTTTCGTTTAAAAGGCTGTGTGTTCCAGTGTGCTGATTGAACCAAAGAAAGCTTTGAAAAAACTTCCTAGAGTCCAACATCTTTATGCCCGATTGTCGGGGAGGCTTCAAAGTGAAGATGATGAGGTAGTTCTTATTATGTATTGCAGTTTGTGTATTGGCTGTTCTGATTATACTTTATTAGACACTTATGGATTTCTAGGATCAACTGGGGCTTGATTTTCTTTTTCACCTCATTCTCTTTCTTTTCTCAAATAATAGGGGATAAGGCATGAAGTTCAACCTAATCTGTGAAAAAAGTTTTGGTTCGTTTCTACCCTTAAGAATAGCACAACTAAGCCCCTCCGTTTCCCCTTTTACTTAGGCTATATTTGGACCCCAGGAAATGCTAGGCAAAGGAATGTAATTTATTTTCTTATATTTTGTTTGACCCCTGAAAATGCAAAGGAAAATGAAATACAATGGATCTTTTTAGATATTTTGTAGAATGATTAGATTTCTTGGTAAACATAAAATAGAAATAAGATAAAAAATGATTTTGAACAAATAATAAAATAAAATTATTGAGTTTGAACCACTGCTTTATTTTCACTAACATTTTTTTCCTTCCAAATTTCATCTACTTTCACTAACATTTTTTCCCTTCCAAATTTCATCTATAATTTCCTTTCAATTTTCTTCCCCTATCATTTTTCTACTTCGTAATGGAACCTTAACAATTGGTATCTTGAGATAGTGCGGAACTGTGGATAAAAGTATAAATCCAGGCCCAATTGTCACTATCTTACTGGCCGATGCGCGTGCCACGAGCCTCACCTTGCCACACTAAATAAGAGTGAGCCACAATGACCTGTTCTCATCTCTTATCTGACACAACACTCACAATTTCTACACTCTTCTTCAGAAGAACAAAGTAACGAACCCTTATTTCGCTAGATGTGGAGGTTGATGATGAAGCATAATCCAGAGAGCGCCAAACTTATTAATTCAAATGTTAGGTTGATTGACTTGATTTATAAAATTGGTTCATGTTACAACAACATCCAAGCCTTAGATCCAAAAGATTTTGGGGTCGGTTAACATGAAACGATACATATAAAATGTCCATAAAAGGGGTAATTTTATACCACTATCAACAATAATGAAAGGGATACAGACGATGGGTCCTACTTTTATCCATTATGGCAAGGTGGAATCATGTCACGAATATTAGCCAAATAAGGTGAGAGCTGGATCTTATTTTATCCACTCCATTGTAAATCACTGGTTGTTAACTTGTTAAGTAAGAGTACGGAGTACCACAGGGTCTTGGTTCTACCTTGATGAATAGTTCTAGGATACACACTAGTCAAAGCTTTGTTTAGGCGCTGGATTGATATTTTAGTGATTCCTCATCCGTTTCAGGGGTAGTTACAACTTCTATCCCTTAATAATAATTTACTTCACCAGTTCAAGGTTCTATCATCACTTCATCCAACTCCAGCAGTTTGTGGGTATCCGACAGAAGTTGCACGGGTTCTAATAGCAGAAACTGGTATGTGCCAATTGTTACACACCTACACACCACTACTATCTTCACTAATTCTATTCCTGACACAACCCCTCAGAAATTTGGGTATAAAGTTTGCTTGTTGCTCTTGAATACAATATACACCACCCATGAAATGATGTAGCTGCATAACTATGTTTTCAGATTAAAAGAAGAGAAAGTAAGATGAAATATTATGGCCCAACTTTTTTTTGCGCACTTGTAGTTGATAAGTGATACTCCCTCCATTCCAAAAAAGTCACGTAATTCCTTTCTGGGCTGTCCCAAAATTAATGTATTGTTACTTCAATCAATACTTATGAATACTCCATTCATACTTTACCTTTCCTTTTACTTAAATCTACAATTTTACCATTCCAACTTTATCTACTTTTCACTTAATCTGGGTTATCTACTCGTCGGGTACTTGCAACTCGGGTGGTGACCTTGCCGATTAGCTACTTGACTTGGTCCGTATAATATTTTAGAGTTACTCGCCGAGTACTTGGTGAGTTTCTCAAATCAGGGAAGTTATCAACTCTGCGAGTTACTCGGCCAGGCATAAAAAAAAATCGTTTTTTGTTAATCTGAAAAGTTTTAATTAAAGAGGGATATTATGGAATTTATAAATAATGAGTGGGCATTTTAAAAATCGGAAATAAAACTTAAAAAGTCTAGGTTTAAAAGTATTTCATACATTTGCTCATTCCAGTAGTGGTTCCTCCTCATCTCTAGGTAAGTTATTCGCCTCCATGGCTCTATCTTCTTTCTTGGTTCTTCTTCATCAGGACTTTTTTTCATACATAAAAATTTTAAGAATAATATATTACTATAATTTTGGATATTTATATTTTTAAAATTAATTAATATAGGACCGAGTAGTGACCGAGTAATCCCGAGTACTAGGTCCTACTCGCTACTTGGCCCTTGACCGAGTTACTACCGAGTAGCGATTTAACTACAGGCTACAATAAAAGGGTAAGGTAGTTTTAGTTTTTTATCCCACATTCTTAATCTTTGTGCTCAAAAGTTCTGTAATTTTTATTTTGGGATGGAGGTAGTACATGGCTACCGTGAACTTTTTTCAACTAGAGCAGCCCTGTTTTCTTTTGTTCAGGCATTGCATCCATCTAAATATCTAATTAATATGCTTATGTCGAAAAGCTATTGGGTAGAAAATGTACTATATTCAATTAGCAGGAATATTTTAAAAATAAAATAAAAAGAGAGAGTGAACTCATTTATCTTTGGTGTCAAATCACAAAAAGAAGAATCTCAAACTCTTGGAGGCTTCCTTCGTATGTCTTTTGTAGCCCAACATCTAACCTCTCATATTTCCGCAGAAACGTTCGATCGAGGAATGTATGCTGGCCCTGTTGGTTGGTTTGGAGGAGAAGAGAGTGAATTTGCCGTTGGAATCCGCTCAGCGTTGGTTGGTAAGGTATGCTTAACAGCCTGCACTTGTATTTTGTTTATTTAAACTTTCATTGTCATTATTCTGCACTTTTAGAACCCTGAAAAGAAAGAAGTCTAGGAAAAAAGGATTCAGCAGTGTTTCAAGTTTTATACTTGAAAATGACATTTATATTACTAACGAAGTTTCCCGGACAAAAATATGACTAGTTATGTTTTTGGACAAAAATATGACTAGTCACTGTGTACAAGTAATTGGACAAGAGTCACTATAGTATATTTCAGAGTGACAAGTCATTGCTAGATGATGAGTCACTGAATATGTCACTTTTTTGAATTTGTTTAAAATAGGTCGTATTTTTGTCTTTTAAATTGAATTTCCGACTAATCAGCTCCCGCCTACATCTAGAGCTTTTTAAAATGACACATTTGAGTATAGGGGTGCAAAAAAGTCATGACACTCTTGTGGTACTCGTGAGTCGCTTTGTTAAAATTCGACTCGTGTTCGGTCAAACTCGACCTCGAGCCGAACTTGAGCTCAACTTCTTTTAGCTTGTGATTCACGGGCCATGACATATTTATATTTAAAAATTTATTTGTACGTATATACACATACATACACACATATGTATATATATACATACACCCGGCAACTCGAGCCGAACCTATAAAATTTAATGAGCAAAACTCAAGCCGAGCCAGAGTCAAGCCCGAATCGAGCACGAGCCGACCTGAATCCGAGCTCGAGCCAAACTTATTAGGCTCATTCAAGCTCGCTCGTTTGCTCCACTATTTGAGTACATGCTGGTTTTGCTGTGCTCAAGTCTACTATGATGGTTTTAAAGAGGTTGATGAGTTAATAAAGTGTTGGGTTAAAATGACTAATCAACTGGGTTCAATCTTTTGATGTTGTTTGAGAACAACTAATTTAAGTTCTAGTTGAATAACCTTGTTCTAATTGTGAATTCAATCACTTGGAGTTATCAGGGTCTTGGTGCATTGATTTATGCTGGAACAGGGATAGTCGAAGGAAGCAGTTCATCTTCAGAATGGGATGAACTAGAGCTGAAGACATCACAGGTGTCCATGGGTCTTCGTCTCTGTGACACAAATCAATTTGAATTGTCCAATATCAATGAAATTTTTATTTGAAGTCTTCCTTTGTTTTTGTGTTGTTTTATCACAGTTTACCAAACTGATGAAACTTGAGGTTCCTGCACTGGCAATGGGTGGAGACAGGAGGAATACTAACCAAACGGGTTGATGATTATCAGTTTTACGTAGGGGTGGGTTCGGTTGTTTCGGTTCGGTTGTTTGGTTTTGACCAAAACCAAATACATAATCAAAGTAAAAAGTTTGGTTCGGTTTTGGTTCGGTTTTGGTTCAGTATTACATTTCAAACTTGGAACCACGGTTTGATTGGTTCGTTTTTTTTGTTATTTAATTTAAAATGATACAATATTATTTGGGTTTTATATTTTGAAAACTAGTATGGCCACGTCGTGGTAATGTATACATACAGGGGCGGAATTAGGGCACCGGGCCGGATTAGGCCGGTACAAAAAATGTTTTTTGGAAAAATTTTACACAAAATATAGATTTTTTTTTTTTAATTTGGATTGGGTCGAGGCTAGGATTGGCCTTCCTTATCTACGTCCATGTATACATACAGTGATTCTATAATCTATATCAACACTGGCATTTGGAATCTTGTACTTTGCTGTGCTATGTATATTAGTAGTTCAAAAACTTGCTAAAATGACTGAGAAAAATAGACAATGAAAAGATTGCACACATTCAATGTTGGAAAAGCTAAAAGTTGCCTCATTATAACTTTTGACCATGAAAATCCAGTAAAATAATATTTGGCTTCAAAATAAGAGGATAATCATATTTAGTGTTCGAGTCCCATCGAGTGAGAAACATTCTTTTCCTTTAATGAATCTCATTAAAAATAGCTAAAACTAGTCTGTTTGCATTTGGATTCACTTTCTAGTATGATCTAGTATGGTCAAAATTGATACTATGCATTTTTTACTATTGTCCAAGACTGGACTATTTAAGGTCATAGGCTGAGCTTAGTCCTAGTAAGAACATCCGAAAGCCAGTAATTTCAAAAAGGACTTTGCTAGTAGTCCATCATTGTGCAAAGCATCTTGTACCATAGTAAAGTAAAAGCTTAGAAAAGGGTTTTTGTTCCTATAGTGTGTCTAGCTACTGGTTGAGAACATAAAATAACACACATGCATGCATGTGCCAAACTCTTATTCAATGTTAATTTCCACAAATGACAATCATTTTTATGCGTCAATCAAGTTATACGTTATCACAATATTTCTATAGAAACAGTATTATTAGTTACCAAATATTTCTCTAACTCTCTAAGGATGGGGTCATGTAATATTTCTCTATCATGGACTTAATTTCTCACTATGATTTTGGTTATCAAGTTTAGCCAATACCTTTTCATTAGTGTTTGCTCTTCTAAGTTTATTATGGGACACTAAAACACCTACAGAAAAGGCAAGAATAGCTACAAGGAAAATTTCCATGTTATTTTTCAACTTGTTTGCGATTTTCGCCAAACAATTGCAGGACTTTTTTTCACCATTGGCAGCAACATCCCAATGTTCTTCTTCACTTGATCTAACTTCACTCTTGTTAGGGCATTCACCATTTCCATTGACCATTTTGCCCTTATCATGATTCCGATCGCCTTCATCCTCGGGTGTCTTGGCAGGGGCAGCAGCTGGAGCATTTTCAATTGTACTTTTGACACTACTATGGCTATGATAATAATCACCACTGCCATTCACATTTTTGCCCTTATCCCGAGTTGAATCATCTTCATCTATGGGTGACTTGGCAGGGGTAGCAGCATGAACTTTTTCAGCCAGCTTTGGGATGGTTAATTTTAAAACGCCATCTACCAGCTCAATCTTGCTATCTTCAGGTTTTGAATTTTGTGGTGCTTTATAGAATTGCTCAAACCAGATAAACTTTGTCCCATTTACATTCTTTTCCCCACCAATCTTTATGAGGCCATTAGCTTTAACTTCCACTCTAACATCCTCTCTTCTGAACCCTGTGAATAGTAACAAAACATATTTTTGCCCAAAATATAAAATGCAAAGATAGACTATTAAAAGCCAGCTTACTATAAAATGGATTCAATTCAATATTTCTCGGACAAATTTGATTTACATACCAAATACCACCGCTTTTTAAACATAGTTGATGCATTATTGGCACAAATACACTATTTGAACTAATTGTAAAAGATGTCTAATATATAGTTAACAAACTATATTAATTATGATAATGTTGAATAAAACACATGAGAAGTTTATATGGGACACAAGAGTCCATAAAATAACAAATTCAACCATAATAGGAATAAGTAACAGAGCATGTTGCTACAATTAAGAGTGCAAGAGTATTAAATACAATGGGAATATGGGATTAGGAAATGGAGAATTACCATATATAATCTATACAATAATATATTAGAGATACTAATAAGTATATTATATTCATAATATATTATCCCTTTTATTTCAATTCTTTCAATGATTTGATTAAGAAATGAAAATAAGAAGAAAGAAAACTTCATCACCATAAATTGATATTTTAATTGATGTGCTATTTTCGAGTTTTAATCAGACGGATTATTAGTTAATTCAATTGAGTATGATCTCTAAATAGTACTCCTATTTTTAAATGTTTATTTAGCGGTACCACACAAAAGTCGTAATGTGTAATCTTATAGAAGTTGTAATACAAAATCGTGCAAAATGTATAAATGGTAAATAAATTTATCAAAATTGATGCATTTTGATACATTAACTATTAAATGAAGCAACTCAGTACCACAATTATTTTTAAATGTTTATTCGGCAGTACCACTCACAAATCCGTCCAAAATCCTAAAAAAGTTGTGATAGCATTGCTCATGATTCTAAATTTGTATATTTGGGGGTATTATGGGCGTGTTTGAAACTGATTCTGCTTCTTCTTCTTTTTTAAACAGAAACAAAATAAGAATCAGTTTTCAAAAGCTGGTCTCCCCTAGCTTCTCAAAAACCTGATTGTAAGAGTAAATCAGAGTACCAAAATCACTTCTGTAATTTCATCCAAACACTCTAACTTCTGCTCCCTGAAGGAGCAAAAAAAGTTTTAAGAATTAGATTCATACACTTCCTATATTGGAACCTGGAAGATGAAGAAAAAGCCAATAATGAGCAGTGGAGTCCTGATTCCATTCAAAAAGAGGCACCACCTCTTCATATACAGATTCGGCTGATGATCTTCGCCGCCCCTCAGCATCTACACCTGACATCCAATAATCTCTCCCTCTCATGAAAATGTGATCCACTCTGGGTTTCCTTATATCTGATGGTACCCTGAAAACGAAGTACTTACCGCTCATTGGATTTAGATTCATTTTTCTTGCCGCCTAATAAGGTTTTCTTCTGTCCCTTTCTTCCATCCAACAGTATCCTCCTCAACCCCCTATTTCATGTGGTTTTATACTTTTCGTTGAATTGCCACCCAAACAAATTAATTGGTTCTCCCATTCTCCCAAACCCGGTATTCATCGATTCCCGGCCTTATTCCCGGCCGGACCAGTCTAAGCCTTTTCTGGTTTTCGATCAATATCAAAACTCCACCAGAGAATATGAGATAACCTACGTACGTACGTAACGTACCATCAATTGTCCAAATTGTAAATGTGATCGTTGGGTGAAATGTACGATGTGGACGATGAGTACAATCTCAGAAATACGTGTCTGACATTTTAATATGGTGACTATTTCAGAGACTAAAAGTGCGATTTTCCCTTAATTAAAAGTTTTCAACTTTTTTGGTAATTATATTACAGTTTCGGATGCGATCGAGGTATGTCTACTAGACTGGGAGGTAAATTTTATCGAACACCAATTAGGCCTGCATTAATGTATGACGTAGAGTGTTGGGCGGTGAAGCAATGCCACATTCAAAAGATGAGTGTGGCAGAAATGCGTTGGATGTGTGGACATACCAGAAAAGACCGCTTGAGGAATGAGATAATCAGATAAAAGGTGGTAGTAGCACCTATAGATGATAAGATGCAGGAATCTCGTTTGCGGTGGTTTGAGCATGTGCGTAGAAGACCGAGTGATGCACCTGTTAGACGACTTGAGGGGTGGGGAGAAGAAGTAGAGAAGAAACGGAGGAGAAGACTCAAACAGACTTGGATTAGAGGAATTAGAACTGATATACGTCTCCTTGGGTTGGATGAGAGTATGACTTTGGAGAGAGCAAAGTGGAGGGCGCACATCCGTGTGGACGATTGATGTCTTTTCTACCTTCCTTTCTTTTTTCTTTTATCGTTTATCTTCTTTATCTTTTTATATTATGTTATTTTTATCTTCTAGCTTTTTATGCTCTTTTTATTTTTTATCTTTCTTATATTCTTGTGTTATTGTTATGTTATATTTATTTATTTTTATTCGTTTTATCTTACTTTTGTTCTTCCCTTTCTTGTCCGTCTTCTCTGTTTGGCATCGATATCATAGATCGATTCATGTTAGGCGACTCCAAATTCTTTTGGGATTAAGGCTTGGATGTTGTTGTTGTTGTTGTTGTATATTAAAGTTTCGGATACCCTAGCCTACAGATACACGTATCAACGTTTTTTATAAAAAATCCAAAGTTTACATAATAAAATTCTTAAAAAATCATAAACTAAAAACAAATTTTACCTTGTTTTAATCTCGCACACAACTAAGTATATGAACAAATAAAATGTGAGATGTTGGTGGAGATGACTTTGAGTTCCCCACTATTACATAGATGAATCAGAATTTGGAAAATAGAATTAATTTTCAGAGCTCGTTTCATGATCTTCTCATCGAACTTATCTAACTTTATTAGCTAATTTCTTCATCAAATGCGTAATTTTTTATTATGTGCGCTGAATTGTGTAATAATCGAAATAAGTAAGGTTAGAGTTACATTTGCGGGTGAATTGACTAAAGTTACGGTGGGTGACCTTTTTAGCTATTTTTCATATAATTTCTATTTATTTTATTAATAAAACATATTCTAAATATAATTTTTTAATAATTCAACAGAATCAGTTAATCCAGCTACTTCGACCAAGACTTCATAAATTTCAATAGAATCATACGATTTCTCCTATATTAATGTTACCAAACGAGCTCTTAAATTGTAACAGGTTAAATAAAATATACATTTTTAGTCTCCTAAAAATTGTACCTTTTTGTGAGCAAAATATATATTGTACACTTATGTGTAACTTTATAATAACGCCCAATTTACCGTTTTACTTTTTTTTAATTGTTATTCATTAGCAAGCTTATTGCAACACTTACTTTTGTCATTTATCAATGTAATAAGATGGATTTATTCGAAGTAATTAATGACCGTCATACCCTTTATTAATACCAATTAGTGACAAGTACGTGAACCTGAGTCTAAGGTAAACTTAGGGGGTGTCCCCGATTCGTATTCTGGAGGATTTTAATAAAGTCTAGAATTCCGTCAGAATTTAGGTGTCCCCGATTTGGATTTCTGTAGAATCCATTAAAATATAAGGGTGTCCTCAAACATTCCGTGAATTTATGTTGTTACTTATTTGCACGGATTTTAATGGATTTCGATGCATTTTATATGCAAAAACAATCCACCACAATCTTGTAGATTCCCCTCGAATTTCAAAATACACGATCTTTTAAAATCCATCAAAGTCATAATCGGGGACACCCTTTAGTTTCTCCCTAACTCTACCGGAACTGGACATGAACCCCAATAATCAATGAGACTTTAGGATATAAGCAGGGGCGGACCGTAGTAGAGACCCGAGGGGGCTATCGCCCCCCTAACAAAAAAATTTTTTAGTGTATATATATACGAAAAATGATTTTTGCTCTTCCAAAAAGTATTTTGAACCTCCCCAAAAATATTTTCGCCCCCCCAAAATGACTTTCCTGGGTCCGCCCCTGGATATAAGGTCCTTTAGAATGTGCAAGAAATGTAGGAGGATATTAAAGTTACAAAAATGATGTTTGTACACACTCTTATACACACTTTTGTACACACCTATGTCTGTGAAAGTTTTTTTTTTTGTCTGTGAACATCGATTCACAGACAATGTTTTGCACAAACAAAATATTGTCTGTGAACCGGATTCACAGACAAAAAAAAGCTTCACAAACATGGTGTGTATAAGGTGTGTACAAGAGTGTGTACATCAAGCATGTTCCAAAGTTATAAGGAGGAGTTTCTTGCGTTCATGAATGGATAAGCAATTAAGCCGTAGTTGGATTAGTGGCTATAAATAAAAACGGTTGTTGATTACACTCCTGACCATTCATCTTGTACTTTATTTGTGTCCAATCCTTCAGCTTTTTATGGATTGTCTAGAAATAGGGAGCCCGAATTCGAGCATTCTAAGTAATTTTTCCTAATATTCATTACTATTGGAAGGGAGAGATTAAAGATCTCAGGTATGTTGGCTCGTTATTCCTTCATTGCACTTTTGTGAATAATCAATGTCATGATAATACACTCATAAGCATCCATTTCAAATCCAAATATATGATTTACAATATGGATGTAGTATTATTTTCTTTTTGTTGCTCGTGTTTACCTAGGGAAAGAATCTGTTAGTACAAACTTTCTTATACACATTTTATTCACAGACATGTCTGTGAACGGGATTCACAGACAAAATAATAGTCTTCTCACATAGGTGTGTATAAAAAAGCGTGTACAAATGGTTGTTATCTAGAAGGCTAGGAAGGAGTAAAGAAGCTAAATTAGGCACCCAACGCTAATGAGAAGCATATTTAGAAAAATAAGTTTAAATAGCACATGTTCTAAGCTATACAATTTTTTATTCTAAAAACAATAAACAAATTAAATCTTAAATAACGGGTAAATCATTGGTAGAACATTGAACCTAAATATTTTTTTTTTACAATAAAAAACCAAAAGTCAAATCATATTTGAAGTTCATTAAATGATTCCGTACATACCAAGATAATATGATTATATATACATGTATATGTATGTGTGTCTATTATCTATGTATATATTGAACAATTGTATGTATCTTTAAAAGTTCATATATAAGCAATTGAGTCAAACTCCATTGCACCATTTTGATTTGCTAGTCTGTTCCATCCACTCATTATTAGTTAGAGCATATATCAATCCTAAAGTGCGTGTATTTGAATATGCATTGGAACTTATTTATATCAAACTACAATTCTACTTTATCAAAGGAATAGTTTCTTTTGAAGGAATCAAAGGAATAGTTCAATAACTTATAATTGTGTTTCTTTGTACGTATTTGGCCAATGGGACATGGATTAACACCATTGTATATCTATTATTACATGCCTTGTCATACTTCAAAAGTAGTACTTGGCAAATTACAGGTCGTTCAAATTAAACATTTTGATTGTTGCAAATAATGATCTTTCATTACTTTAAATTTTCTTCATTCTTTCTTCAGAAACTGGAATTTATGTAATCGTAAACGTATAACATGCTATGTTGCACGAAAACATGAAAATCACGAGGAAACGGGGAAATGGAAATGTCATCTTTTAATTGAAAAACAACTGTTTGGAGAATTTCCAAATAATTTCCGTAGAGTTTCCGAAACGTAAACACATTCTTTCCTAAAAATTTCCGTGCTACATAGATAACATGTGAAGATGATCAGATGGATTCACTTATAAGGCCATTATATTGTTCCTTCTTTAGAGCTCTTTTGTGAAGATTTGGAATGGGAGAAAGAGAAGACAAAGTAGAGAAGCATGACGGTGCAGCAAAAGTTGAAGATGAGGAGAAGAAGAACAAGGAGAAGAAGAAAGATAAGCAAGAAGATGAAGGTGAGAAAGGAGAAAAAAGTGGTGATAAAGAAAAGAAGAAGAAAGACAAGGGGGATAAGGATAAGAAGGATGGAAAAGAGAAGGAGAAGAATCCTCAAGACAAAAAAGACCCCACAAAATTGAAGCAAAAATTGGAGAAGATTGATGCAAAGATACAAGCAATGGTTGCTAAAAAGGAAGAAATTCTCAAGCTGCTTAATGAAGCTGAGAAGAGTCCAGCGAATCCCAGTGGAGAAAATACCAAATATTAGTAAAAACGTTACAAGTCTAATAACCAATCATGTATTAAGTTAAATAGAGTATATCACTTAACTTTACCTTTTTCCATGATATGTTTTAGTCACGAGTCATTTGTTAAGAAAATACAAACTGAGACACTAAAACGTTACTAAAATACTTAAATAAGACTTGCTATATTTATTTTCCCTAGTAGGACCGTATTTGTCTTTTTTTGAAACATACGGATTTTGATAGACAATTTTGTCCCTCCTTAGTCAACATTGGACTCCCTCTTAAGAAAACTATAATGGAAACAACATACTTTTACAAAATTACAATTATGCAAACGAGTGGACAACAATATAGAAAAAATGACCTAAATATTATTACTTGCAAACGAGTGGACAATAATATTACAAGACAACTTATTAGTATTTAAAGCAAGCGCACACACACATATATATAGGGAGCGGTTCCGGTGAGAAAAGACTCTTAGAAGAGAAATGAGAATGAATTTGAGCCGTTAGATTGCATTAAATGAAACTGAATTGTACATTTGGTGAACCTAAAATGTGCATTATGTGAAATTGAAATGCGCAGAATAAAAGGTAGAACTCAAATCTGCATTAGGTAAATTGAAATGTGCAGAATAAAATGTAAAATAATGCCACTGCATCGTACTTTTTATTCTGCATATTTCAGTTCCACCTAATGGACATTTCAATTTCACCTAATGCACAATTCAACTTCACATAATCTCATTGTGTCGTATTCATTGTGCTGCACAGTTCAGTTTCACCTAATGCACAATTCAGTTTCATCAAATGCACCTTCAATTTCACACACTCCTTCCGTCTCTTATAACTTTGTCATCTTTCTTTTTTTTGTCCCAAAAACTTTGTCAATTTCCATTTTAAACAATGAATTTGTGGTTCCTGCCATTTCTTTCTCCTCTGCACAAAACTCAACCACACTATTTTTACTTTATTATTTCTCGTGCCAGTCAAACATGGCAAAGTATTGAGGGACAGATGGAGTATTATAATCTAATGGTCCAAATTCATTCTCATTTCTCTCCTAAGATCGTTTTCTCATTTGAACATAGAGGGAGCGGTTTCGGTGAGAAAGGACTCCAGGAGAGAAATGATAATGAATATGAAATTCTGGACTGTTGGATTGTATTATGTAAAATTGAATTGTTCATTTGATGAAACTGAAATGTTCATTAGGTTAAATTGAAATTAAATGTGTAGAATCAAAGATAAAACTCAAATGTGTATTATGTGAAATTGAAATAATGTGCAGAGTAAGAGACACAAAAATGTCACCGCATAGTAGCTTTTATTGTGCACATTTCACCCGCACAGGTAGCTCAGTTGGTCGAGTGGTGGAAAAAATTGGACGTAGACTAAGGTTCGAATCCCGTAGCGGCCAAAAGGGGTTTTTCAGAACCTGAAATAAGGCTGAACATCTGGTGCGCACGGGTAAAGGCCTACTGCCGCTTTGCTGACTGAGTCACCGTGATTAACTCCCCCACCATCCTGTCGGGTCGGGGTGGGGGGGCTCCTGGGGTGGGAGAGTCCACCTTTTGGATGTATTATGCACATTTCAGTTTCACATAATGCAAATTTCAATTTCACATAATGCACAATCCAAGTTTACATAATGCCATTTTGCCATACCATTGGTGATGCACATTTTGAATTCACTTTATGCACATTAAATTTCATAGAACACAATCTAACGGTCAAAATATATTCTCATTTCTCTCTCAAGATCATTTTCTCACTAATTTTGCATTAATCGTTGTTGCCCTGACTTCCAAGTGTGTATATCATACAACTGATTGTACGGCGCAAACGTACAGTCAGTGACATTTCATAATTTTAGTTGAAAACTGCGACTTCTGTTAATTTAACATCAATTTACTTGTATTGAGCATCACACATATTCTGTTGAGTATTAGAAGTCTAATATTTGTTTCATATCTTCTAATTAACTTTCTTTTTCGTATTCTCTCTTCAATAAAAATGTCTTAAATGATCTAGAATCGACCTTATATAAATCTGGACGAATGTGATGAGTCTTATTTCGGTCAATGAGTTTTATAAATCAAAATCTTACTCCATGTGTTCTAAATTGATTTGCAAAGTCAATGTTTTTAGGTTAATCAATGCGAAAATTAAATTCTCCTTATTGATAATTAATTCATTCTTTTTTTGAAAGATAATTAATTCAATCTTAATAATTAAAATTTTAAATATTCAGAAATTCCACTAAAATCTGTAAAAAGATGTGAAATCCGAGTTAGAACATATTGTCTCGTCCCTTTTAACTTTGACAACTTTCATTTTTAAACAATACCTAATAATAATTTGTGGTTCTTGTAAACCTTGATAAAGTTTCGTGGAACGGAGAGATGGAGGGCGTAATAAAATGTAATGCAAAAATTGACTTTGCAAATAGGAGGTAGTGATAATTGATAATATTCCAAGAGGCGTGCTAGATGTACATTTTTTTGAAGACAACTATTTGTGCGTGATACAAACGAGTGTACAAAATATGTACAACAAAAAGTGTATACCAAAAAAAGGATGACACCCCATCCCTGAGGGCCCCTCAACCCCAACCGGACGGTACGTTGGGAGGATGTAAATTGGACTATAATCACAATCTGACAGATATAGAGTGAGACTCTTTCCCCGGTACTTGAACCCAGGAACTAACCCTTGTGACACTCCCTTGTTACAGTTGAGCTACGCCCACCGGTACAAAAAGTGTATATACCAAACATTTTTCATATTCCAATTTCCAAATAAAAGGTATGGTCCCACCCGCACAAATGATCGTATAACGCAAATTATACCGTGGGATCGGCCCACCATGCGCATGGTGTGCCGATCCCAATACGGTATAGTTTTTTAACATCAAAACAAGCAGCGCCCGTTTCATCCGCAGAGTAGCACCACTTCTTCTTCCTTGCTCTGCGATTTCTTTCTTGTTCTCGACGGATTTCTTGGGAGCCTCGATGGCAAACAACACCAGGCACTTAGAGCAGCGTACAAGATCGAATCCGGTAAGAACCTCCTTTCCGACGAACCCTACAAAACTGATCGGGGCCAAAATTGAGAATACGGAGGTTGTCCTTGATGGTGACCGAGAGCAAAAGCCACATAGAAGAGCTGTGATCTGCCATAAGATACCGGATTTCAAGGTCTGAAGGTCGGACAGTTTGTGGAAGCTATGGCCGCCGCCGCCTACAACTTGTGCATCTTGGGAGCTAGCGTCATTGAAGCTCTGAGAGCTTTCTGCAGAAACACCAGCTGCCCAGCAATTGGTTTAATTATTACGCATTGAGTGTATATTTTTGTGGATTTGATGATCAATTTGAATATAATTTATTATCATCCCCTATTATTATGGATTAATTGCTCTGCTATGTGTTTGTTTCCTAATAGTATAGAGTTACAGTTCAAATACATCGGAGTTACATTTCAGTTTGGCTAAAGTTACATTTTGTAACACGCAACTTACATTTCGTAAGTTTACATGTTATTATGCGTGGGTTACATCTTGTTATGTGTGAGTTACATCTTCTTATGCGCGAGTTACATACTTTTATGCGTGAGTTACATCTAATTATGCGTGAGTTACATCTAATTATTTGTGATACTTTACTATCTTTATCTTTAACTAATGAAATTACAACTGAATTAATTTTTTTCTTTACCAATTTAATACAAATTTTTTTTGGAACCACATAAATAAGTATATTGTATTTCATAATCAAATAATAAAACCCTTTTATTGAATAAAACAACTATTTTTAATTGATTTTCTTTTACAAAAAAATGTTTTTTTTTGGTAAAAAATGATTCCTTTAAAATATTTTGTGATCTTAATATTAAAAACAAAACATATTCACTATTTCGGTAAAATAAATAAGAAATTAGACTCTCTTTTTATTGTTTACATTGAAATCATTGTTTTTTGACAAGTTACATTTCGACTTGTCTGCAGTAACATTTCTTATTAACGTGAGTTACATATTTTTACACGCGAGTTACATCATTTATGCTACTGGGACAAAAAGAAAAAAAATAGTTACTGTACACGCGTGTACTGTTCACGCGATTTTTTTTTAAAAAACTGTTCAAAGCTACGTCGTTTTGGGAGTGGAGCACGGTGCTCAAGGTGGATGATCCCCCGTATACGGACTGATCGTATAAGGTATCAAAAATCAAAAATGATGTTTGTACACACTTTAATACACACTTTTGTACACACATATGTCTGTGAAAGCTATTTTTTTTGTCTGTGAACATCGACGTGGTTGATCAAAAATTTGGGGGAACAGGTAAAAAAAGGAGCAGAGCTCCAACGAAAGAGATCGACCAAGCGCGACCAGAGAGAAGAGGAGGAGGGAGCAATCATAAGAAGATCAAGCTCACCAAACGGTCTAAGTCGCCGGACCTTGAGATTCTGAGTTTTCAGAGGCCTGTCAGATCTAACGTAGTTCAATCGACGCTCCCTGGGTATTCTCTTCCATCTTCCATCTTCCATCTTCCACCTTCTTCATCCTTCAAATTTTATCACTCGGGCTGATTAATCATCCCAATTCCCTGGTAAATTCTTTGTTCTCTACATTCATTGTTTATCAGACTTCTCTTCTTTTTGTTCTAATCGATGATGGCTCGTTTGTAACATATGAGAAATTTAATTTGGGTGTCTTTTTGTTCTATTATTGTTTTCAATTGGGTTTCCATAGCTTTGTGATATAAGCATTCAATAAATTTGGTTTCCATTACTTTTCCATTGATTTAAGCTAAAGTGTTCTCTTATTCTCTTAAACTGAAATTAGTATACCCTTATCTGAGGTTAAGGTGATGTGATTGTAATCTCAAATTTGGTTTCTCTTTTTCGTGTGAAGTTAGGGCAGATCAAGGAGCCTGTTTGATTCTTGTTATGATTAGGGTTGATGTTCTAAACTTGATGTATACATTAAACAATGGGTTGCTTTTTAGAGGAGTATGTTATTCTTATCTAAACTCAATGAGGTATTCTTTTAAGATGAGTCAATTTAAAAGGTGAAAACATATGTCTTAACCTGAGAAAGTTTGGGGCAATATGAATATGAATCTTTGGATTTCCTGTCAAAAATTATTACCGTATATATAGCGGGTGTCAAATTATTCAGAGTATAGCATATATAGCGGGTGCAATTCACATGGAGAAAACA